CACCAACTTCACCGAGTCACGAGGTGTTAAGCAACAACAAGCATCATCATAAGGAACAGATCTCTATCAAAATCCCGGACAAGATTCAAGAAAATGAGGAAACGAAAACACCAGTTAAAAACAACCGAACAGGAACCACGAAAGTCAAGATACAAGCTACATACACACAGGCATGAAAACAAGTGAAGAAGAGCATTAGAGCTGACAATCAGAAGTACGATGAAAAAGCTGAATTGGAAGGAAATATGAAACAACTATATGACACGACGAAGAAATCAGAAGGGAAATATAGTAAAATGGAATGATCGGTCAAGGACAAGGAATGCAAGCCAATCACCGAGATTCAACAACAAAGGAACAAATGAGTAGAACACGTCGAGGAACTCTTCAACAGGCCAGCTACACGTGATTCATCGAACATCAAAGCAGCACACACTGACCTCCCTACAGGTATCACTCCACCAACGAACGAACAAATCAGGATGGCCAGTCATCAGAAAAGGCGAGAGTGGGAAAACAGAACTGCCTGAAAACATACCAGTTGAAACACTCAAGTCACACATAGAAACAACTGCAATTATACTTCACTTTCTATTCAGGAAGATTTGGAACGACAAAAGCAATCATACTTGATGGAGAAACTCTGGAACAAGTGGAAACATTCACTTGTCTGGTTAACAAAATCCACCAACCAGCACGATCTGATTCAGACGTGAAGACGAGGATTGGCGAAGCAAGAACAACATTCCCACAATTCCTACAACAACATATGCAACATGAAAAAAAACTGTCAATCAATATCGAAATCACAATCTTCAATACGAATGTCAAAACAATCAATTCTACTGTACGGAGCTGAAACGCACAGAACTACTACAACCATCATCACAATCATACAAGTATTTCTAAACAATTGTCTATGCAAGAAACTCCAGATCCGTTGGTCGGACACCATAAGCAACAACCTACTGTGGGAGAGGACAAACCAGATTCCATCTGAGGAGGAAATTAGGAAACGACGTTGGAAGTGGATATTACATTCAATACGAAAATCACCAAACTGCATCATGGGGCAAGCGCTAACTTGAATCCTGAAGAGAAACGGAAAAGAGGAAGGCTATTGGACACACTACATCGAGGATTGGAAACAGACGTTAAAAGGCTGAATAGGAACTGTGAAGAACTGTGAACGATAGTTCAATACAGGGTTGGATGGAGATTGCTGGCAGACGACCTATGCTCCTCGACGAGGGAGAACGGGCGTACGTAAGTATATTAATTGAATCTAATATGTTTGCAGCTGAATATAACATATTAGTGAGAAATTACCTGGACTTAAAATGTCGTCCAATTAGAGTAAATGACTTCAATTACATAGAATTGATGGAATTAAGATAAAAAATTTAGGTCGCGTTGATCAATCATTCTTTACATACGACAAGAATCCTTATGAATATTTAAAGACATAATTCATCCCTTTATTGAGAAGTGAAACGAAGAATATAATTCAAATTATTACACAGTTGTTCAAAGGGTTCGTAGTAAAATTCTATTAAACAAAAAGTAAAAAAATAAGCCACTACATAATTGGTGAAGTTCTAGAATTAAACATTAAAATATGTCAATACTGAAATTTTTTATGTATACATGTGTACATTTATGTAATCTGCTTTCTACAACAAGTTCGTATGTAGCTTCCCACCTACACCGGGAATATATGAACTGAAATCAAGAAAAACGTATAGAATTTTCTCTAATATTTTTCGATTTTTTTAGTATCTTGCTATGCTACTAGACATACTAACAGAACTAATATTGCAAAATAGAAAATTTAGCGCTAAAAGCTGTACTTTTTTTCCGTTTCATTTGTGTTATCATCATTCTAGTGGTAATATTCATTCTTTAAAATAAAGTTTATCCGAACATACTGTAAGTTTCAAATAACGATTAATTATTTTATACAAAAGAATTTACAAGCATATCACAATAAGCCATGAAAATTTGAAAATAATTCAAATTTTATCCAGTTTCTTGTTGTTTATACAAAATGCTTTGCCATATGCCAACTTGTTATTGTGTTGTTATTGTCTACTGACTTTACTTTGAAAAACGTTCTTAAATTTACTTGTACCGTTAGATCGAGTGTTTAATTCACGTACAAAATCAGAAGTTGGATGGATAAAAGATTAGTAATATAGTTTTAAAAGAAACATAAACAGGTCAATACTGGTAGAGTTTTGTTCTCTAAGCTGGATGGTTTACTTGTGAAGTTTTCATTGTCCTTATGAATAAAATCATCAGCATAAACTTCAAGTTTGTTATTTTTATTTACAAGCGGTAGTCATCATGAATTGATTTCAATTAGAGTATCACTGAAAACTGGAGAGGAATGGATAGTTGTTTTTTTCATAGTACCAGATTCTTAAGTATATCAGACAAACATCTCTTCTATAGGTCAAATCTTGAACGTTCAGTTCTCTATACAATCACAGCGATGAGACAACTAATTTTTTTCTTCATCAAATGTAAAATAACTAGAAAGGTAATATACCGAACTTTCTCTGCAGATGTTGTATATGATAAGTCATGTAAAGACTAGAAAAAATCTATGTTCGCATAATTAACTCATTTCATATTAACTTAATCTTATAAACAAATACTAAATGATAAATACACCTGTCTTATTATGTCATTTGAAAAATTATTTGTTTATATCTATTTGACAGATAATTTAATACAAATGATCATTGACTTTTATAATTGTATATTCTAATGATTTATCTAAGGCCTAAACCAAGTGAAACAGTTCTAACTAAATATATATTCTTAATACAATTTTCGGATTACCATTATATAAATTAGGGATACATTTTGTGATCAAATGTTTATTAGAAGTATTCTCTGTAGCAATTTGAATGAATTATTTTGATCATTTATTGCAATCAAAAAAATCTCTTGGATATTTTTTCTCCATGGAAAAAACATTAAAGCGAAGTGGAAAGCGATAAATTTTTGATTGAAGTCAAGGACAAAGAGAAAAAAAACAGGAGAACAATAATCATTGGTAGATTAGACATTTGAATAAGATAAAATACAATAATGTCCATGTATGATTGATTTGATTAGTAGAACAAACTTGCCAGTAAATGAACCCCACAAATATGATGAACGTAATGGATCATATACTTTCATATATTCTGATCATCAATTTCCGGACTTACTAACATATGTCTTTATACTAGGATTTTATTTCTGTTAAGGGAAATTTTCTTGAGAGTTTCACTGGTTTGAATATAAAATTATTAAGGAGTTTTTAGGTGAATGAGTTGTTATCCAACTTACCCCCTATATCTGGTATTCACAACTCTCCTTTCAGTAAATCATGAAACCAAGGATAATATCAATCTTAATTTTAGTGTATGAATAGGTGACTCAATGGTTTGAACACTTGAAATTGAAGTTAGGTTAGACAAGATGTAACGGTGACTTTCATTTGCTTTTTTTTTTCTCATAAAATATCTCAAACATCTCAAATTACTTCCTATATCGTATGATTTTATTATTTTTAAACTTTTACAATAAAATATTTAGCATAGAAAAACTAGATAATCAGTAATTCAATTAACACTTATTTTAGCTTAATAATATTTTCTGTCTATTCAAATATATATTATTTCCTGAAGGGTGAAACAATTAGACCATTCTATTTTCCAAAATTAATATTGAACTGATTTGAATAAGCATCTGTTAATTTGATAATCATTATAGTAGAATAATTATCTGAATAGGTATATATTTGTATTACGTTAATCGGTCTATGAATTCTAAATATAAATTATATGTGGCATAGAATTCAGTTCTTACTGATCAATATTATTATGACAAAATGAGATAAGTTACATTACATGGAAGTTTTGTAGTTCTTGTAAAAATGATAACATAACAAGCCAATACTCTCTTATGTTAATTAAAATTGAGGTCATTAAAGGTGTAAAATATCGTTATTTTAAGAACAGTTCACATTTTATTTTTGTTCAATATCAACATGAAGCAGTAAACGTTTAATGGCACTACTAACAACATTTAAGTATACCTTGAAATCCATGTATTTGTTTAAATCAATGTATGGATATTCATGCATAATCTAAAAACATCTTTTATCCCAAAGAACTTTACGATTAAGACAAACTTAATTCATGATTATGGGTGTTAGATAGTTGAGAATGTCTAGAAAAAACAAAAACCAATATTTCAGTACGGTATCTAGTGATTGGTGTAATCTCCAAATACGTTAACAACTATTATCAAAAGGTTATAATATTCAGTATTTATCAGAAGATTGACGGTTACTGTTTTTAAACAGATATTTCTTGAAATAATATCAGAAACTCTACATCATGGGCCTTGAGTCAGTCTTTTTTAGGTGCTTGCTAGCAGAAATTTATTTATATTGGTTAATACTAATACAACTGACATAGTTCTGTTGCTTTTTCCCCAAACTACGACCTCACATTTTACACAAACACATTGTTTTTAATTCATATTTTTAAACCTAATCCATCTGTGGTAACCAAATAACTTGAAATAATGGTGAAGTGATTCTTTCTTATAAAATTCTGAACCATTTATTGACTATTTTTTAGGAACCTTTACTCAGAGTGTTGTGAATTGAAAGGATAGACATTCGAAAATCACTGTAGAATAACTCACACATTTCTCTTTGACTCTACAAACTACTGATAGACAACAAACAACAAGAAAATTTTATTTTGAATGGTAATTTTAACTCACATTATGACAGTTTAACATGAACATTTAGATATATTCAATTAGTTATCTAAGAGGTGTGATACACCAAGTCACTAGCTACACCAACGTGAAATATTGGCTGAGATGGAATTATGTCATAAAAAGAATGGAAGTGACAAGAAAACACTTCAGATTTATGGGTAACAATTACGATAATTGAAATCATAGACTAAAAATTAAATACAGCTTACCGTCACCACATTCAAACAATCCATTAAATGCTTTTGCTGTAACAGTATGAGATCTTCAAATGTTAGTTTGGCTTTGTGAGAACTCTTACATTTATTGTTTTTTTTACTTTTTGTTGTATGTTTCTGCTGCTCATTTGAGTGTTTTTGTTTATCCATGCTTGAATCTGAGAAACTGCTTTGGCTAGCTGGGTAAATATATATAGGTAGGAATGACGGTTTGTTATTCTTGTCTTCAACACTTATTCTTTGATCTTTTCTTTGTTGACTTTGCAGCCCATCATTAAGAGATAATGTACGATCTACTATCTTGCGTTTATTACTTAATTTGAGACTAGAAGAATGCAAGACCTAAATAAATTGGCAAGTTTCAAAGCAAGAAATACTTTTATATCTAAGTGTTTGTAGTTAAGTCAAATTAATTACTAAAAAAAATAACCACGTATATTCTAAATATTTTAACACTAGATTCATATGCTCCGCTTACAATTCAATAACCATCATTTAGTTCGCGCATAAAAGCAGGATCAAACCCTATGACATTCATAAATTGTCGTTCAATAACACATGTGTATGCATTCTTGAATAAAAACAACTGAGAGAAATGTATCATACTTCCTCTCAAAAGAAAACCGATCATTCCGTTCTTAACCTTATATATGAGGAACAATCTGGTAGTCGTTAGGATCATAGGTCTGAAGAGGTAGGAATTTGAGATATACGATTCTAAAAGAAATGTCCTTTCACCCGAAACAATGATAAGAAGTTAGAAATATGACACCCATGGTAAAAACACTACATTAAAGTTAGCTAAACTTTTTACTATCACAACGCACAGGTAACTTTAACCTTTTGTGAAGCTTTTAATAGTTTGTGTCTTTCATCAGTTTTTCAAATGTTTGATTTAAAGAACAGTGTATGTACAGCAGTAACTGTAATTTTTATCAGATGTTGACAAAGTGGACACCGAATAGTTGAATTTATCTATTACTTAAGAATAGCAATAGGTTACAGTCAAACTAACTCGCCGACTATACTTAAATCAATAACTTTTGCATAACGATTTGGTTTTTTTCTTCACACTGCAATTTGTGATCACTGTGACATTAAATTCATTTTTAATTTCCATTTAGTTCAAGTTTTAACCACTTTAGAATGCGGACACTAATTTCTCCCTTACTTTAGTGACCGCCTTTATTTACACCTATAATATACACATTTTCAGGTCTATAATTTGTTGATTTATAATAGTCGACATCAAGTGTGTTGGTACACACAGAAAGACGTATTGTCGAGGAACCTGAACAGATAAGAGAAAAAATTTATTCGCTAACTTCGACCCAATATTTCTATATCAGTTGTTAATTACTTTTTCATAAATGTCCATACTGATCAACTGTAAACAATTTTGAAATATAACTAATTATTTACTGCCCATTATTCAGTGTTTTGCGATTGTAGAATCATCCATTCTCAATTTATATATAAACAACAAGCCACAGTTACCGATATTAATATTTTACATGACTAGATATTGTTATTCCATAATCGTCTATTCTAGTTATGTTTCCTCATAGATCCCTGGATGGTGATCATACATGATACACAATCATACCTAGAACAAATAAAAATCATTAAAACAAACAATGTTTTAAAAACTGAAAGTAAACAAAAATACATATTAATCAAAGTATTAACTTACTTTACCGCGCGTTTGTCTTACTAAATGATGGTTATTCCTCCCTGATAAATTATTTGTTTCATATAGTTTGTCTTTCTTAACATTATATGAGTTGAACCAGGAGAAGTATCTTTCACTACTCCAGAGACTGATTGATTAGATGTTGAAAGATTATGTTCAAACTGTTGATTCATATTATCTAATTCTGAATAATCTGTTTTAACGCATGATTCATTAACAAGATTCCTTTTTTTATTTTTTAATAAGGTTAATGAGCCACTTCGAGTTAAATTTGAATGATGACTGATTGTCAGATCACTGCCTGTTGAATTTTTTGATGTATCATAACTTAGATCTTTACCTGTTGACTGATTAGCATTTATTAGTGACGCGGGTGAAGTAGATGAGTATGATGTGGTTGTTTTGACTTCGAAATAGGCGGATTTCTTTGTTTCATTATCACCATCGTAATCTTCATCAACTGACGGCTCTGGACTTCCGGATTTTTCTGCACAAGCATTAACAGTTGCCATGAGTTGAGCTAATCTTATTCTTGCCTGTCTGGCACGCTAATAGATTAGATAGGAAGTGAACCAAATACAGAATTAATTCAGTTTTGTCCCTCAAGTCAAAATGATATAAAGTTAAAGACGTTCATATGTTCGACAAAAACAGTACAACAACTATCACACCTTTAGGTTTTATTTATTAGTTCATGTTCACAGTAGAAACCTAATTCTGTCAACAAAATGCTTGATGTCACTTTTAATGGCGTTTTATAACCCTGTATAAATTCATTACCTATAATGCTGAAATATATATGTATTGTTTTACGAGAAATTTTCCAAAATAAAATAGGAAATTACAAAAGAACCCAATTATATGATTGATTTTGAAAATAGTATGATCGGTTATCATTGTATTGGAATAGATATAAAAGCCTACAGTTTGCATAATCGTTATCTGTTTAATAACAGTAAGATCTCACAATTACACTATCACTAGTTCAGATAGAAATTCGAACGTAGTTATAGCGTTTAATATTTGTTTCCCATCACAATACACCTTTAAATAATTTAGCGAAAATAGTGTGCACTTGGGCATTTTGGGCAAATATTTCGGTAACATTTAAATTAATCACGATATTTTAAATATTTGTGGTCACATCCTCACAGTAGTATACATGTCAGCCATCATTTCGAAATTAATTCCACCTGTTTATATCCCATGTGTACTTTTATCACTAAAATAGATTATTTTCTATGTAATGAAATGATATATTTGTAAATGTAATGAAAGATGAAGGCCAATGTATTGCTGAAGATTTAAACGTATTTCTACCACATGCTAAACTGTTTGACCTAAAGTTTTGTAAGGTCACACTGAAACAGAAATCCGATTTGCGTCACTGTAATAAAGCTTAAATATTGATTTAATTGATTTGTTTAATATAATCGTTAAACGGTGATTACACTAAGCAAAATGAAGACATTTCAATGAAAAAAAATTCTTTCCTTTAATCGTGTTTAATAGCCAATCAATTCGGACGTCCTGCTTCTTAAAATTTTCCTATAACATTTGAACTAGCTGAATATAAACATACATTGTTTTAACTACAGTGTTTTTGTACTTACATTTGTCTACTGAAGTCTTTGTCCAGTTCGACAATGAAATTAGCAGACAATTTTGTGAAAATGAACTTGTGAAATATAACAGATTAAGTAAAAAAGTATAAAGGTTTTGTGTGCTAATAAGTTCAATTTGCAACTTAGTCATCAGTTTATTTCGATATCTTTCAAATTAAATAAATATTTATGAATAGTAGGCATATAACTAAATAAAAAGAAAACATACTTTTTTCCCAATCACTGGTAATGAAATGCTTAAAGTATATCAGTCTTTTATAATTTATCCTACAGTAAAATGAGTGTTGAAAACTTTAGGAAAACCTATTTATAATCGCTAATGTAATTTACGAATTATTCTCCTCTGAATATACCAAATCCAAAACCATGCCTCCTAGACTTACTTTTTGTGCCTGTCTTTTATCAGATCTTTGACTTTGATTATAAATACGAGAGAAGTTTGATACAATAACGGGAACAGGTAAAGCAATTACAAGCACTCCAGAAAGTGAACACATACCACCAACAATTTTTCCAACTATTGTCTCTGGAACCATATCTCCATAACTGATAAAAAACAAACAAAAGTTAACGATATTTTATTACGTGCTCGGACAGATCACGGAACCTCAGATACACTTCAGTCTCAATATATTTAACTTTATTAAGCCCTTCAATTAACTTATCTAACAGAATTGTCATTCGGTCAGTAACAATTTGTCTATATATTTGTACGATTAACATGTTTGTGTGAGCATGTATTCTTGAACATGGGTTAGATCTTACACGCATATCTTACCAGCATAAGTGTTAGTTACTTAAATTATTTGATGACTGATTTCGTTCCCCATATATATGGTTCTTAAATCCAATGTCTAAGTCGTAATCGTTCGCATTCATTCCTACTCGCATCAATGTTCGTATTTACTTTAATTGTTTGTAATTTTGTGATCTGGACTGTACAGTACTGAGCTTCAGTTAACGCTTCGTATTACCTTCCGAAATATAATCACCGTTGAGAGCTTTCGAAAATTGACCATTAGAACAAATTATATACAAAGCATAGGAATTATGTCGAAGGAATTCCACTACAAAATAGTTAAAGTACTCTATTATGCTAAGACCAGTCATTTAACGGATATAGTGGGATGGTTTTGGAATTTGTTTACAAAAACCAGATAGTTCAAACCAAGTAACTGATACTGGTATAATAATATTGTTTTCAATGTAGACATGAAGATAAACTCCTCTAAAACTCAGATATTAAAGCTGTACCGAAATGTCAAATATGATTACAATGAAGTATAATTTATCAACTAACCAACCAGCTAATTTTACGAAAGAATTATATCACGATTTCCTTAATACTCATTAAGGTTATAGACGTCCCTGGATTTATACTACTTACCACCATAATTCAGCAAATTTAATTTACAATACTCCTTAATAATTGTATTTTGCCTTACAATTAAGGGTTAAGGAAAACATGGTTTGTAAACTATATAAAGTACAATACCAACATAGACACAAGAAAACAATTAATTAAAATGATATACTCTTAGGAAAAATACCATTTTTGAGCTTCAGTTTTTCTTAATGATATGACTGTCTTTCATGAGGAAATCTGATTGAACACTGGACAAATGGACAAATAGCATTACAAAAGTACAATACAACCTTCTACAAGTTACTAGCAAACTAAACAATTCAAGATAACTCTCAACAACATGCACCAAGCCTTACAACATCACTACAATAAGAAGAAATTATGATGGAGGACAACTAGAAATCAATCAAAGAAGCACCAACTTCACCGAGTCAGGAGGTGTTTGGCAACAACAAGCATCATCATAAGGAACAGCAGTTAACAACAACCGAACAGAAACCACGAAAGTCAAAATACAAAATGCATACACACAAGCATGAAAACAAGTGAAGAAGAGCATTAGAGCTGACAATCAGAAGTACGATGAAAAAGCTGAATTGGAAGGAAATATGAAACAACTATATGACACGACGAAGAATTCAGAAGGGAAATATAGTAAAATGGAATGATCGGTCAAGGACAAGGAATGCAAGCCAATCACCGAGATTCAACAACAAAGGAACAAATAGGTAGAACACGTCGAGGAACTCTTCAACAGGCCAGCTACACGTGATTCATCGAACATCAAAGCAGCACACACTGACCTCCCTACAGGTATCACTCCACCAACGAACGAACAAATCAGGATGGCCAGTCATCAGAAAAGGCGAGAGTGGGAAAACAGAACTGCCTGAAAACATACCAGTTGAAACACTCAAGTCACACATAGAAACAACTGCAATTATACTTCACTTTCTATTCAGGAAGATTTGGAACGACAAAAGCAATCATACTTGATGGAGAAACTCTGGAACAAGTGGAAACATTCACTTGTCTGGTTAACAAAATCCACCAACCAGCACGATCTGATTCAGACGTGAAGACGAGGATTGGCGAAGCAAGAACAACATTCCCACAATTCCTACAACAACATATGCAACATGAAAAAAAACTGTCAATCAATATCGAAATCACAATCTTCAATACGAATGTCAAAACAATCAATTCTACTGTACGGAGCTGAAACGCACAGAACTACTACAACCATCATCACAATCATACAAGTATTTCTAAACAATTGTCTATGCAAGAAACTCCAGATCCGTTGGTCGGACACCATAAGCAACAACCTACTGTGGGAGAGGACAAACCAGATTCCATCTGAGGAGGAAATTAGGAAACGACGTTGGAAGTGGATATTACATTCAATACGAAAATCACCAAACTGCATCATGGGGCAAGCGCTAACTTGAATCCTGAAGAGAAACGGAAAAGAGGAAGGCTATTGGACACACTACATCGAGGATTGGAAACAGGCGTTAAAAGGCTGAATAGGAACTGTGAAGAACTGTGAACGATAGTTCAATACAGGGTTGGATGGAGATTGCTGGCAGACGACCTATGCTCCTCGACGAGGGAGAACAGGCATAACGAAGTAATATTTGTTCAAGCTATTATTTAGTAACAAGGAGAAAAATGAAAGCAAACAATAATGCATCATATTCTATGAACATTGATTTATGTTCGATACGGCATATCACTTACGTTCAGCTTGCTCTAATTACTGTGCATTTAGCACTTTGAAAGTTATACGTGTACGTATAAACCACAAAATGCATTACTGGCTTTTCTGCTTCACAGAAAAATAAGTTTAACAAATAAAATCTAACATACAATGCATTTTCCCCACGGAAGTCATCTAACTCAATTCGGACAGATATATATAGAAAGAATAAATTAACGAGGAAATGTTTCTATATGCAAAGTAGGTTATCTATGATTTCTTTATTTCCAAATTTAAGGATACTAAAGCTCACATTTAGGTCAAATATCGAATAAGTATGTAAACAATATTTACTATGAATTTACGAATCACACAATATCTTTTATTATTAAACAATTCAATCTTATTCAGTTCTAAACATCACTTGAAAGACCAGATTTTTCCTTGAGGATAAAACACATAAGTAATAAGAGATATGACACCCAAATAGTCAAAAATGATTATTGACGATATTTATAAGAATATTCTGAAATTTGTCAATAAATTCAACGTATTAAATGAAGTTATTTTAATATGGTAGAACACAAAGATTACCATCTTATTTTTTTCATTGCACTGCTGCATATACTTCACATGTCAACTTTATAACTTCGTGGATTGGTTGAGGTTAGGCATTAGCGCCATTGGATGCCGGCTCGGTGGTCCAGTAAGTTAAGCGTTCGCGCGCGAGACTCAAGGCCTTGGGTTCGATTCCCGCGGCGGGATCGTGGATGCTCGCTGCTGAGAAGTCCCACAACAGGACGAAACGGCCATCCAGTGCTTCCAGGTTTTCGGTGGTGGTCTAACATCAATCGGTTCATGATCTCAATCAAAAACTTAACAATCTCCACAACCCCTAAACTGATAACTTTGTAACTGCTGTATTTAAAACCTACTCAAAATATTTCAAGGGGGATAAAATCGCAGCCGGATGCAAACAAAGCGTAACTGATAAGTTGATCTTAAAACTAACGTAGTGGACAAAAAACGAAAACATGTTCCTATCACAACACTATCCTTTAGATTTCTCAACGACAGCAAATTAAACTGTTAATTTTTTCATTGAATTTTCGTTGTTTAATCTCAAAGATGTCGTCCACCGAGAACTAGAGTAAAATTTTTGTTTCTACACCCCCTCTCTCTTAATATACTCCTATTCTTAAAAAGAAATTAAAACGTAACAATCATATGTTCTCAGGGTTGAAAATTTCCTTTACTAGTAATTCCTAGCTTTCCATTATAATCTAACCAGTAATGTAGTGAATAGCTGAAATTTCAGTTGGTACCAAATTGATAAAGGAAGCAATATTATAAAATTACCTGGTGTCACCCTTTACATTCAGTGGGAACAATTCACACTACGTTAATCCCTTCAAATCAAAGAAGAAATAACTAAAAGACGAAATAAAAATTGCCCTACAAAAATTATGTATAAAAGTTTCATGACAAACATCACTCACTACCCGTCTTTATTTAAAATTATTTATGTAAACTTACCCAAGTGTAGTCATAGTGACGATAGTATACCAAAATGATGATGGAATACTGGAAAAAGTGGTCCCTTCAACCGATTTTTCAGCATAATACATAACAGTAGCAAAAATAATAATAACCATTGTTAGACTAAATAGAAGAAAGCCCAGTTCTGATGCACATGACTTCAAAGTGTAGCCGAGTATTCGTAAACCAACACTGTGACGAGAAAATTTGAACACTCGAAATACTCGAAATACTCGTAACGTTGTAAATACACCAGAAACGCTCTGTAATAAAAAGGAAAATATATGTTTGTCAATCTGATCGCTAGTTTAACTTATAGCGTTTCAGTGAATCAATATAACTTTAATCATTAGACGAAACAGAGAATGTATTTGTGATAATATTTATAAATGCTTTAAGTTACAAAGTTCAAATGAAGTGTGGAGGTTCAGCGAAACTAGTTAACTGTTTATTTTGCATTGATGAGGTCGAATAATCGACATAACGGTTTTTTATCGTCTGACAAGCACTTAATCAAATGATGTGATTCAAATAAACCATACGTTATTTAATCCAATCACCTGTTTCACGGTAATTAAAACGGTTTTACAAAAAATTATGTAAATACCTTAACTTTTTAAATAAAAAGCTGAATCCATGCATAATTAAACAGATTTTAAAGTATATAAATTACATCCGGTTTAATTGAGATCTTTCACGATTGCTCAACAAAATCAATATATTTAGAGAAAAAGAATACCGAAATTATAAACAGATCATAATTATATTTTTAAGATTAAATAATACTTTTCAAAATTAAACATTAATTTAGCGAAACAAGTAAGCACTGAAGATGAATTCTAGATCTTTTTTTTGGTGCAACAAAATACATTTCAATAAAAAGTCAAAATTCAGAAGAGATTTTTTCCAAACTAAACTATAGTTTCAGAAAAGTTTTAAAAATTTTAAAATCCAACCAAATTGTTTACATCATATAAAATAGTAAAAAGTCTATTATTTGTTAATTAACATTGAACAGATATTATATTTATCAGGAAAGTCTCATGTCATGAATCACTCTGTCCAGAAACTTAATATTTCATATGAACACTATTATCAACAGTTTCGAGTATAATTTAGATTAACATTATCTTAATCTCTTACATTATCGATGGAGAATAATCAAGATTTTTTATAAAGCTATAGTTCATGAAGAGATTTCTAATGAGAAGTAAGAAGATAATGTCTTCAGCTATTTCGATTACAAATTATATATTATTTCAGATAGAAAAACATGTTCACATGAGTCGTCAAAAATACAAGATAATATGAATTGGTAGCAGTGCTGTACGTAATTTTGTGTGGTTTATGGTATAGCTTGCACCATTTCATAATTTCAACATCGAACAAATTGAACGAATTTATGATAAGCAAAATTATTATCTCTATTTTCGTTAAATTTCTAAATTACTGAATAGCCTACTATTAACTAGAATAAGAACATTTGCTAGGCGTTATACTATTGGCATTAGCCGTAGTTTTCGAATAGCTTACACAAAATTATGTAAATGTGTAGCACACATCATGATTGCATATAAAAACATAATGAATTATTGAAGCGTATAACTTATGGTATCTTTACTGGCATTCCATTCTACATTACAATTTCTGATTCAAGTAAACTGTGATTATACTACCTACCACTTTACAAATTGCTTTTATAAACATATAAGAGTAGTAAAGTTAATACGCTAATTCAAAGATTTCAGAAAAAGCACTCCAACTACACTCCCATCACTCTGTGCTACATATATATATGCAAGTTCCGAAAGAAGCAATATAAATATGAAAAAATAAGGATGGTAGTAAAATGAAATGGAATAAAACTACTTCACTTAAAAATCAACGACTAATAACAGTTTCTTAGATTACTTGTTTTTTTGTAGATGTCCAAAGTGACTAGTGTTTTTAACCATATTTCTTAAACGTATTCATCAACTCACATATACTTGATAAAGGTGATATCAATGAATATCAACACAGAGTCATAGAAAATATTATCTTCCAAATAGACTTACAAATTCATGTAAAATTGCTTCGAATAAAAGTCACTCTATAAAAAAAATGTATTTGTAAATTTATGAAAATTGTAAATATGAAATTTTAAGTGAATGAATGACCGATAGGGATACCAACAAGTGCAAGTTTAATTTCTCTAATTAAGATAAAAATTTCATATTGGTTAAAACATCATTTGAATGATGTGATTATGCAATTAACTAATATAAATCACTTAACAGTTCATTCATTATGGTAATGGTAATATTAGTCCATTAAAAGATCTCAGAAGTTACTCGTAATTTAATCTTTGCTAGGATATAACAACTACTTGTTTTTTAAAGCATAACATTCGAATTATAAATGTTAAATATTCATAACCAAAGCACTTGCTGTAATTCTATGCTTCATGACTTTTAAATGATATACTTGATAGTTATTATAAATACTCCAAAGTTTTATTTCCATAAGCTCTTTCTGATCAAACTTTATAGCTGAGTTACAGTATAATATTGAAAAAAATTAGATTTAATCTGAACAATTTGTTTGTTTAACAAGATATTAAATTGAAAATATAACCGATATAAATGATTGTGGTGGTTTAAATTTTGTCGGGAAATGTATTATGCAATCTGCTAAAATGTCAAGATTTTCAAAGCAACTAACTTTTAACGTGATCTGACAATCATAAAGTATAAATGTTTGTAAAATGTCGAACTTAAGACATTTTTACAGAAACTAATTAAATCTATGATATTATTTTTTGTTTTTATCATTATAATTGATGCATTGAAAAAAACTGACTTTTTATTATGTTTAATTCCCTGCTATACAAATTTAAGACATGAAATGAAAGTTATTTATAGGAGATTTGAAAACCCTGAAACTTTTCAACAGTGTGGTCATATTTAAAACATCAGTCAATCTTCATTACATTACCAAATCAGTATTCTTATTTGGACAGTAAAAATGACTTATCCAACTGGCGTGTAAAAGCGTTAAGTATATTTATAGTTTAGGTAAATTAATTTATTTTATCCATTAACTTAACCATTGTCTGACAGCCTACTTGATCACAATATGGGTGTGAAAATCGCACTTCACAATATTATGCAAATACCAATAATTCAAATACATTCATCTAATGGACTGATAATTTGATCTAATTATAAGGGTAACTACATACAAATGAAGTCTCAATTCCTTTTAAGTGTAACAATATTAAGTGATGAGAGTGTAACTGAGTTCCATATCTGGATAGATATATAATTACTGAGCAAAAAATCAAGGCAATTTTTGTAACATAATGTATGTTAAATGGATGTTGTTTACAATCAGAAAGCCAGTTACCATGAGAACCGAAAATAGATGACAAACAGGTATTACGTATTTAATTAATATTTACTGAAGACTGACTAAATTTTGACACTAACTAACAAACAATAGTTGCTTACTTTGATCAATATGAAGTTAAAACTCTCAAGCATCTAGAAAGTTTCTGTAAATGAACTCTCAGTAAAAGACATTCAACAATGAAAAATAGAATATCAAATGTTATACTCTGTTATATAGTAAATTATATTATTTTCATGAAAAACTGGAGGTTTAGTTGATTTAGAGATACAGCATTCTGTATTTAAAAGTAAAAGCAAAAGTGATATGAAAGCATATGTACAAAAAAACAGTATAAGAAAGTTATGAGAGCCGAATAAAAAGACTTGAAATGACGGACCATACGAGTTGGAGATTCATCTAGATAGTTGTAAGTAATAGCTAACTGTTTATAAATACGTATGTGTTTACCTGATTAAATCAGTTTAGGCCACATCCTGCGCATACAAATAAAGAAACCATATTTCAGTAAATACGATATATTCATAAACCAGCGGTCAATCAATTTGTTTCTTGATGGGTGCTTAGTTTGTTAACTGTGAACTCTCAGTACTTGAGTATTTTAAGTCGGTAGAATAAGAATTTTGATAAAGGGAGAAAAACAATGGAAGAAGTTGACTTAGTAGTTATGAAGTTACACTAAATTAGTTAGTAGACAATAAGTATTCATCACGAATGTCATTCTGTCAACATATTATTAGTCTATAGCTTACAACAAGATAAACATATTAACAGGCAACTACTGAATTTCTCTCAGTCTTCATTAAAAAATTGTCTTTTAATCCTAGACAATGTTTATTAAAGTTTTCTATGTGGCTAAAATCAACATCTGAAATCCCTTAAAGCTATTTTGTGTTGTTACAAACACTTCATCTGTGTTAGAATACTGAGACAGGTCGTAGATTAACAGACCATACTCATTCGACAATGTTATATGTACGTATGAAATGTCATTTAAAAATGAAAACACTTGATATCAGTGTATGTTGAACTGAAGACTGAGTTGACCATTTTCTTCAGATAGATAATTATTCGTTGAAACACGTAAAATTTAGATAACTGATTGCATCACTTAGAGCAAATTAATTACCTGGATCAGATTAATTGATAGTATCAAATAATTTATTTAGAAAGTTTATCCTTTTTAACTATTTCAATAAAAGCAATTGATGGATCTTTAATAATCACAGAGAAAATAGTGTTATTTTATGTGAAACATTCTTTTACAGTCGTTTGCCAAAAAACTCCGATCACTATAAATCTATTACTTTCACAATTTTTGGTGTTCCAAATAGGTTTTAATTTACTTCTGTTGTACACAATATGTCGTATTTCAAATAGCATCAAAACATGAAGAGATTGGAAAATTTTTAAAACTGGAAAAGCTTTCTAAGTAGTAGTCCTCAGAGTAAGTATTATTTAGCGGGTAAAATGTGTTCTTATCTACAATCAATACGCTCTGTTATTGTAATTGGTGTTGTTTTCAATTGTAAAACAACTCCAAACAAACTATCAAGAATAGTGAAGAGACATATGTACTTTTGACTGAAATCATGATGAAATTGGTTTTACTCTTTGCTCACTTGTGTTTATATAAATTCGTATAAATTCTCATATATTTTCTCATTCCATGATAATATCCATCTAAATGAATTGTTTTAATGGAAATTCGCTTTAACGGTTTGGGGATTTCGAATTACAATTTGATGCTGAATTGAAAATAAAATTTTATCTTGACGTAAATAGCTTCTATTTACTTCAGTTTTATATTAGGTAATAAATACTCGATGGTGCTCTTTGATTCTCTTCAAGAGGACGAAGGTAGTTTTTCTCC